GTTATTTTTTTCCTTTTACAAAGTTCATGTATATTTTTACACCCAAATAAATTTCATGGTGCCTAATGCCCCTTGATGCAAACTTTGTTGTTAAAAATGCACCTTAAAACTGACTTTGTGGGCCCCTCTAACGGCAAACTGACGGACATTAACGGCATGGTGCCAGATGCTCCCTTTTGACAACTTCATGTATCTTTTTGCAACCAAATAAACTTTATGGTGCCCAGTGCTCTTTCGGGAAAACTTTGTTGTTAAAATTGCACCTTAACCCTATTTTTTTCTCTGGGTTGAATCAGATGCTTTAAGTTCTTGGTTTTTCAAGGGCACATAATAAATGAAGGTGGTCGGGTTAGGTGGTGCCGTGGTGGAGTACAAGAATAGTAAGTTGTAGAATCCAGTGCCGTCGTGACTTAACTAGTCCAATATTCCCTATTTGACAGCTATTTTTGCATTGATTTTTTTTTTTTTTTATCATTCTTTGCCATGCCTACACCCATTGAGAAGCGACCATAGTCCAAACATGGGGACTTCTTAATCTCATAAGATAAGGATATGATTGGCTACATGGCCTTTTTATTAAGGGTGATGGTCTTAGAGTATGATATATAGTGGGTAATAGAGTTGGAGTTGGAGAGAGGGAGAGAGTTAAGAAGTTGGAGGGAGAGGAGAAAGGATATGTCTCATGGTAGAGGGTAGGGCAAGAGAAATGTGGGAGGAGTTTTTCTTTTTAATAAAATAATCATTTTAAAACAATAGAGTGGGCCCACCAAAATAAAAATAATGGAAGTTTGCATTATTTAATAGTGGTGGTGTTTATGTTCCATTTAAAAAAGTTTATTGGTATTTTTTGCACCCAGAAAAGGTTTATGATTCCAATCACATATGGTACCAATGCGAGATCGTCCCCTAGACTGATTAGAGAACTTACAGAGAGACATGATATTGATATCTCAGCTATTTTAAAGACGAGTGAGTGGCCCTAGAGCAAACAAGATTACTTAACTTCTAGGTTTTAAACACTTTGATGCACAAGGCTACAACGGCGGCATATGGTTTCTTTGGAAGAACGGGAAATCAAAGATGAATGTACTTGGCATGAGTGAGCAATTTATGCACTTGGATTTAGAAGACAGGAGCTTAAAAGCATTCCTTATGGTGGTTCATGCTAAACCAAACCCTATCAAGCGATGTGTAGTGTGGCAAGTGCTTACAAATATTATTAATATGGTGTCAAGGCCATCGTATATCAAAGGGGACTTTAATGCAACTCTACTTTCTCATGAACACTGCTCTATTTCACAAAATGCACATGATTTGATGTTATGAGCTTCATGAATCTAGGTTGTAGTGTAGATTTCTACACTTGGCGTTTAGAGGAGAGTGTGAAAGCTGATTGTCCCGTAGTTCTTGGACTCGTCAAGGATTCATGAAGGGGAGAAGCCCATAAGACTTCCTTTAGATTTGTAGTAGCATGGGTGTTACATAGAAACTTTAATAGCTTTATTCAGAGTGCTTTAGATGTACAGAATGAGCGGCTCGACAATATCTCTCACTTTATTGAACAAGTACAGTGTTGGAGCAAAGAAGTTTAGGTTCACTTGGCCCATAAACAATGGCACCTGATGAATGGAATTGAAGGCCTAAATAATCTCTCTCAGCGTTGTATCAAATAATATAAGTTAGAGAATCTCTTTCAAAAGTCTAGAGCGAATTAGAGGATTCTTCTACAGGAAGATTTACTGTGGGGCCAAGAGGAAAAGTTTAATTAGTATATGTATTGCCATAGCTATGTGAATTTGAGGAAGAAAAGAAATAAAATAGAGGCTTTAATGAATGATGCTAGTGAGTGGTGTTTTGAAAAGAAAGGTACTAAAACTATGGCTTTCTCATTCTATCAAACTCTTATGCAAAGATGCTACAATTGATGACATGTTACAAGGATAATTCTCCTGTTCAACCATTGATGATGCCTAGCTGAGTGATTTGGCAAAAGAAGTTGTTGGGAAAAAAATTAAGCAAAGCTTTTTTAATATGGGAGTTCTTAAATCGCCAAGTCAAATGGCTTCAATGCTCTCTTCTTCCAAAGTCAATGGGAGCATCTTTGTTTGTTAGTGGTTCATTTCATCCACGAGTCCTTTAAAAATCCCTCAATGATTAATGATGCCAACAATACTCTTATTATCCTCATTCTAAAAAAGGATAGACCAGAAATGATTTGGACTTTTGCCCCATTAGTCTGTGTAATGTGATTTATAAAGCCATCATAAAATTGATCACTGGTAGAATTAAGATAATCCCCCTTACTATTTCTCCAAACCACTATGGTTTTTTGTCTAGCATGGTGGGAGCGGATAATGTGATCATAACACAAGAGGTAATTCATTCTATGAGAATGATGAAAGAGAAAAAGGGATTATGGCTATAAAAATCAACCTTGAGAAAGCTTATGATAAGCTTTGGTAGAGCTTTATTATGAGGTGCTTAGATGAGTTAAAGATTCTGAGCTACCTCTGAATGTGATTAGACGGTGCATCTCCTCCCCTACCATATAGATTCTGTAGGAGGGCACTAAAACCCAAGAGTTATTTCTCTTTATCGCTTTGTTATTTGTATTAAGAAACTTGCTCACCTGATTCAGGAGGTAATCAATGATCATAGATAGCGTCCCTTTAAGCTTAAGAAATATGGACCCCTATTTCCCATCTCATCTTCGCCAATGACCTCATCCTTTTTGTGAAGGTTTTGTTTGACCAAGTAGAAGTCATTATGAATTGCTTGAATAATTTTGTAGCATCTTTAGCCAGAAAGTTAGTCAAAGTAAGACAAGAGTCTTCTTCTCCAGCAATGTGAATCACAACAGTTTACTGCTAGATAGATTCTATAAGAGGATAGAAAACCCAAGAGTTTACTACCTCTCAAGACATATGATGAGGCCTTATTTCTCTTTATCTCTTTGTTATTTGTGTTAAGAAACTTCCTCATATGATTCATGAGGTAATCAACACTAGTGTAAAATACTGATTTAGCTACTACTTTTGTGTCAGTTACACAAGGAACAGAAGTAGTATATAAGTTGGAAACTTTTCGCTTCAATTCCTCACAAACCTGATGCTATAAGCTAACATATGGCTTCTGTTCAATATTGAACAGACTTCATAAGTATTTATAATGATTTTAAATTATTTTTCATTATATATATTAGCTCTTATCCTCTATAAAACAAACATATAATTACTTTACTTTTATTTTCTTAACTTATGCAAAGAAAAAATTTAATCTTTTAATTCAAATACTTGAGTTTTAATTAGTTTTTAAATTATCTTATTCTTTTTACAAAGTTAAAAGTTTTTCTTTTTTTATGATAACCTTGCTTCTAATTGATTTTAGGGTTAAGGTGCAATTTTAACAACAAAGTTTACTCCAAGGGGCACTGGGCACCATAAAGTTTATTTGGGTGCAAAAATATACATGAAGTTGTCAAAAGGGAGCATCTGGCACCATGCTGTTAACGTCTGTCAGTTTACCGTTAGAGGGGCCCAGAAAGTCAGTTTTAAGGTGCATTTTGAACAACAAAGTTTGGATCAAGAGGCATTAGGCACCATGAAATTTACTTGGGTGCAAAAATATACATGAGCTTTGTAAAAGAAAAAAAATAACAAAATTCTTCAACTTCCATAAACGTCCATTAATTTTATTCTTTTGGGTCTCACCAAATGCTATATTTTCTCTCCATCAATTTTCACTTCCAAGTCGATCCATCTTTCTCTCATCATAGTCAACACGCATACTCTCTCTATCATGTCGTTTTCTTAGCTTCCAAGCCTTTTATATGTATTTAAGCAAAACACATCTTTCCCTTCTAGGATATGAGGTTTATTGCTTGCATCCAATTACTACCTCTAGCCCTTAATATAGGATGCAATGGACTAATTTGAGGAGATTAAAAATAAATAAATAAATTACTTTAAGATATTATATTTATTGTTTTTTCTCCAAATTAATTTTCTTGGCTTGTAAACTAATATATAATTTAATGATGCATATAAATATTTTAGAGAGATCATGTACTATATGCTATTGCATCAAATAAATAAATAATATAATATTTAAAGTAATTTATTTATTTATTTTTAATCTTCTCAAATTAGTCCATTGCATCCTATATTAAGGACTGGAGGTAGTACTCAGGTGCAAGTAATGAACCTCATATCCTAGAAGGGAAAGATGTGTTTTGCTTAAATACATATAAAAGGCTTGGAGACTCAGAAAACGACATGACAGAGAGAGTGTGTGTGTTGACTATGATGAGAGAAAGATGGATCGGCTTGGAAGTGGAAATTTATAGAGAGAAAATATAGCATTTGGTGAGACCGAAAAGAATAAAATTAATGGATATTTATGGAAGTTGAATAATTTTGTTATTTTTTTCCTTTTACAAAGTTCATGTATATTTTTACACCCAAGTAAATTTCATGGTGCCTAATGCCCCTTGATGCAAACTTTGTTGTTCAAAATACACCTTAAAACTGACTTTCTGGGCCCCTCTAACGGTAAACTGACAGACGTTAACAGCATGGTGCCAGATGCTCCCTTTTGACAACTTCATGTATATTTTTGCACCCAAATAAACTTTATGGTGCCCAGTGCCCCTTGGAGTAAACTTTGTTGTTAAAATTGCACCTTAACCCTTGATTTTATAATTTACATTTAACTGTTTGTAAATATTTTTATATACAGATAAAAAGGAGGCATTTATTTTTTTATTCTATGGCCTTTGGTTCATGATAAAGCAGTAGCCATTGGTATTTTTCGAATCTCCTACGTCTGATGCAAAATGGACAGTCGTCGTAGGCCTTCTCATCTATGGTTTCTGGTCCAAATTTGGCCAGCCACCACAAGTTTTTTTTTTTTTTAATGTACAGTGTCTATTCCATGTTTGGACGAGACACCACAAGTTGTTCTTATATTTAAAAAAAAATCTGCCCTTTCCCTCCGTCCATTTATTTTTAGCGCGCCTCTTCCTTTCGTCTTGTCTGTCTTTTTTGTTCTCACTGGCAATCTTCAGTACGCGTGGGTCTTCTTCTCTTGCTTTGCTCTTCGACTCTACTTGTGTGTTTCGTTAGGCATTTTCTTCAGTACGACATGAGTTTCACCTCCTACACCCTTTTTCACTTTCATTTTGTTCATGTTTGTTCTCATTATTGTGGCTCCTTTCTGTGGGTGTGTGATGATGGCATGTTGGTTGAAATATCTTCTTCTTTTTCTATTTTTCTCCACCATGTTCGATTTTGATGTCAAGGTTGATCTTATGGTGCAGGGGAAACTAGCCCTAGCGGAGAACCCCGGAGGAGGCATCGCGACAGCCAAAAATGCCGAAGTCCATATGCAATAAAATAGGTTTTATTTTTGTTAAGCCTCTTCTTAGATTTTTCTATGCTCAATGCTCTTGTTCGTTGATTGGCGAGGAAATTAGGATTCTTGTTAACGCTATTAATTTTTTTCCTGTTTAAGTCATTTGTTCATTGAACGAGTTTGAGTTTTTAAAATGTCTTTTCTACAAGAGAAACAATAGATTTCATATCCTCTGTTTTCCCAGCACGATTTCAGCTTATAAAGTGCACAAAATCAATCGATTTAATCACAGAGAAATGCTATTAGATTTGTAGCATTTGAAGTGGAGTCCTTTTTTACCTAACCGAGTTATTCTTGCCTTTTTTTTTTTTATAGTGTTGTGTTCATCTTGTTATCGCATTGAAATATATTGGCTATTGGCCTGTGACAGTGAACAAGAGAAGCTCAAATCTTCTTATAGTGAAAACATATCGAAATGACGGCATCGAGTTTCTGAAAGGTCACGGCTTCGAAGTAGATGGGCAGGTTCATATATCGAAAACTCAAACCTTTTTTGAAGTTTTAAAATTCAATCATGACATCTCAATAGAGTACTTATTTTTTCGTTCTCGTGTTCTGTTTCCTCCTCTCTCTTCTTTGCTATTTCAAGCAGCAAGTCCACTATTCAGGTATGATGTGAACTGATAGACTTGAATTTCAAATAAACTGATCCATTCACTTTTTTGACTATCTTTCAGTCGTTTGATTGAGGTATATCTCATTGAGTAGAATGAATTAACAAAAATATGTATGTTTGAATTAAGACCAATTCCTCTAGTTATTCTCTTGGGGATATAGGTAATTTTGATATTTTTTATATTCGTATCCATCAAAACAAGCATTTGAGTGTTCTCCATTCAGCCTCGAATAAAAGCAAGATATGCTATAAGGAGGAGTTGTTTAGATCAACGAAGTGGAAATATTCTCATATTAGAAATCAACACTTAATCATCATTATAACAGATGTTTCAGCATCAACCAGCCTACTACTTACATAGCCAGGGTAACACACACACACACACACATTCACTAACTAACTCATTTAATCACTTCTATATGTGAGTCCTAGTGCTTGTTATTGGATCCCTTGATTGGAGAAGTCCAACTACGTTTACTCTTTTATCAGTTCCAGATTTCAAGGTTATTTTTTTAAATTATTTGTTAGCTTTGCTTTTCAAAGGTAACATCTCATATGAAATAATGTTCTCCAGCGGAGGATTTGTCTTTGGGTTTCTCTCATTCCTGCAGCAATACTTTCAGCTTAAAGAGAATGTCAGCCAAATTAGGCAGAGTATCTGGCTTTTATATTTATGTGTTATTACAAATTTATGCAATTGCTGAAATTTAAGTTGGCTTTGGCATTTTTAGTCCTTCTAACATTGGATATGGAGAAAAATGCTTGTATGTATTAGTTCATGAGTAGTTGGCAATTACTGGATTTGTGTTTTATTATTACTATTTTTTTTTCAAAAAATGACTACTTACGGCGTCTGTTGCACTGCGCAACAGAAGCCGTAAGTTGTGACTTACGGCGTCTGTTGCACTGCGCAACAGAAGCCGTAAGTTGTGACTTACGGTGTCTGTTGCTTTATGACAGACACCATAAGTCCTATCTTTCGCTTCTTTGCCTTCTACTACACTTCCAATAGAGTAGCGAAAGCATATTTTTAACTGAAGCCAAAAGGGGTATTTTGCATTAGTGCAATGATCATAGATAGCGTCCCCTTAAGCTTAAGAAATATGGACCCTTATTTCCCATCTCTTCTTCGCCAATGATCTCATCCTTTTTGTGAAGGTTTTGTTTCATCAAGTAGAAGTCATTATGAATTGCTTGAATAATTTTTGTAGCATCTTTGGCCGGAAAATTAGTCAAAGTGTTCTTCTCCAAAAATATGGATCATAACAGTTTATTGCCAGATAGATTCTGTAGGAGGGTAGTAAAACCCAAGAGTTTACTGCCTCTCAAGACATATGACGAGGTGGCCTTATTTCTCTTTATCTTTTTGTTATTTGTATTAAGAAACTTGCTCATATGATTCAGGAGGTAATCAATGATCATAGATAGCGTCCCCTTAAGCTTAAGAAATATGGACCCCTATTTCCTATCTCTTCTTCACCAATGATCTCATCCTTTTTGTGAAGGTTTTGTTTGACCAGGTAGAAGTCATTATGAATTGCTTGAATAATTTTTGTAGCATCTTTGGCCAGAAAGTTAGCCAAAGTAAGACAAGAGTCTTCTTTACTAACAATGTGAATCACAACAGGGCTGCTCAATTAAGTGACAAAATGAGTTTTAATCTTGCAAAGTATCTAGGGGTTTCGTCTACCATGAGAGGGTAAAAAATGAAACTTATCAATATGTGCGGAAAGAGATGCGTGCGATTTTCTATTTCTCGATGATTAATAACACCGAGTGTTTTCATAACTGATGTATATAAGCTGTGTTTACATCGGTTCCTCTACCTTCTACTATAAATAATAAATATTACACCATATGCATATACATCTGGTATAAATATTGTATCGTTATTTACAAAAATATTAGCACTTCATTTATTACATTGTTGGCACAATAACCAACATAGATAAGGCAAGGTAAAAAAAGATTTTTTTCTAGTAGTAACAAATACCAATTTGGCAATGATTGAGTCCCTCACATTGAACAAACATGTGCTAGATCTTGACTATGGAATAGCATATGTCAATATGAGATACTTGGAAAAAAGGTTAGGCAAGGGAAGAAGCAAATTGTAACTAGAAGAGGAGAAAGAAACTTGTAACGTGGAAAACTTGAACATAACAGGCATTTCTCCCTAAAGTCTGCATATAATCTTCTCTAGAGTGACAACTTGACTCCTCATCCATTGTGGCAGAAAGTTTGGAAACTGGGTTTATCTCAACACTGTAAGTCCTCTTTTGGTTATTACTCTAGGATCATCTTTTAACAAATTATGAAAGGCACCGAAGGGGGATTAGTGCTAATGCATCCGGCATTTGGTGCGATGACAAGGCTGAAGATACCCTTCATCCTCTTCGGGATTGCTCTATTATTAAGGGGTTATAGCTCTCTCATTGAACAGGATCAAACCGAACTCTTTTTTTTTTTTTTTTTTCCTGTGAGGTTTGGGAATGGGGCCGGTTGAATATTATAGAAGCTATTAGGAGCGATCTTGCCCATTAGAAAGAATTCTTTGTGATACTTTATTGGCTCCTATGGAAAAGGTAGAGATGACAAAATTTTTGAGAATGTGGGGACTGGTATACCAAGCCTCCTTCAAAGGACTAGGGCAATCCTTGCAAGTTTCAGTGCATCTCAAGTTCCCCAAGCTTTTATGATTAACTTGGGAACTACAGATGCATAGAAAATAGAGCTTTGGACTTACCTCATGGGAATGAAATGTACTTAGGTTGCTGGACATATATATAGAAGGATCCTGCTTCACAATGATTGTTCTGAGGCACTAGATCTCATGCGAGAAGGAAGAAATGAAGATCATGGACATTGAAACTTAATAAATGAATGTCGTATTATGGTTGAAACTGATTGCCTAGCAAAAAGTGGGTTGGACCTCTCTTATGGATTTCATGAAGTCCCTCTTATAGAGCTGCATTCTATTTTCACAGCTTTATCAGGGTACCTAAAAACAAAAAAAGGGTTAGCCAATGGATCAACTGAAGAAGGTGAAAACGCACTCTTGCAAATTGGTCCTAAAGTTCAGTGAAATATTTTATTGTATGATCAACAGTTGTAATTAGGTTGAGTAGAAAAGAGTTCATAATTACATTTAAGTAACATTGTGTATTTTTAAATCTTACATATATAAAAAAATCACATAGAAAAATGTACTACCTTCAATTCTAAATATAGAAGCTAGATAAGATATTTGTTTTGATCATAAATATAACACTCCAATTTACTATACTTTCCTTTTCTTTCTTTCTTTTTGCCAAAGCACCCGATTGATTACACTTATTAAAAAGGTTTCTATTAAGACTAGTTTTAATTCTGATGCTTATATTAAAGGGTTATTAGTAATTAATTTAACTACTTTTTTTAAATTTTTATAAATTAATTATTTAATTTTTAATTCTTATATTAAGAAGTGAAGAGAGTATTGTTCCTGGTAGACCCGTCAACATTCGAATTTGGCTAAATATGATTAATGTGTTATTAATAAAGAAGAAGAGAGGATCAACAAGAGAGTATTTCTCATTCTAGTAAAGGGTACTTAATATATTATACATGGTTTCTATTTATAGGTACAGATTTACACTATTGATAAAATCTATAGATTACATAATAACAATAGATAATTAAGGGATATATAGATAATGAGAGATATGGGAGATTATAGAAGATATTGGGAGATATGTGGACATCCACAAAGATATTATTATATTCATAACACTCCTCCTTAAATGTCCACTATACATTCATGTAACTTATTTAAAAAGAAAATTCAACCAGAAAAAACCCTATGGGACAAAAACCTAGAGGAAGAAAAAGAGCATATCATTTATTAATACACTATGCAATGCTACCTCATAAAAAACCTTGCTAGGAAAACCCAGTGGGAGAAAACCATAGACAAGAAAAAAGAGTGCAACGTGTATCTACTCCCCGCATTGACAACATTAGTTGACATCTTTGAGTTTGCAAAGTCTAATATAACAAACAAGCCTTCCAATATTGTAGTAATGAAAACATCAAATATTTAATTTCATAATCTTTTGAAAATCATAAGACAAATAGTCCTTTTATAGTTTACCCACATATAGATCATACTCTGATCTCTCAACACGAGGATCAAATGAAAATACTTTATTTACATAGCCAGTAAGATTAGTCTTAGATATCTTTAGATAAAATAATATCACATCCACAGTACCTTTGATGTAACAAAGAATGTTCTTAACTTCACTCCATCATTTTTATGTTGATGAAAAACTATATCATGCTAATTAGAAAATGACATGTCAAGTTTTGTGTGGCTAGATAAATATATATGTACTCAGTGACACTAAAATATAGTGCTTCTGGACTGAGTATTTATTCATCACTTTCTAGATGTCTAAATAGATCGTTAGTCCACATTTAAAGATCTCACAGCTATCAAAACACATAACAGACATGGCTTAATTGTCTACATAATGGATGTGACTTATCCATATTTATTCTTCCCAAAGCTTTCGTTTCAAATTCTTTCTTTCTTTTAAAGTAATTCGCAGCTTTTGAAAACTTATCAGCAGTTTTGATGCTATCATCATAAATAGTGTTGATATCAAACTCATTTTTAATCTTTTCACAAATGGACAAGTTGAAATATGTTTACATCATTCCTTCAGTCGATATTAACCATATATGCCTTATATAGAAACTTAATTGAGTAGTGTTCTTGAGACATAATTGTATGCTTTTAGAAACTTAAAT